CCGAACAATGAGAATACATCCTATTCCGCGATGTTGCACATTGGTGGAATCAGTTCCGCCCCGGAATCGATTCCATCGAATTCCGCCATTCAGCTCACACAGACCTCAATCCGATTTCGGAATCCAATCAACCATTTCCCAACAATTCCGGAATCATTTCCAATAATACCATCTAATTCCGGAACTCCGGGAATTCCATCAAGCAGGAATCGCAACGAATTAGCCGGAATTGCATGCAATTCCATGTAATTCCGTTATATTCCGGAATCATATATACGTTGCATTAATATCATAGCTTACTTCTAGTGTATGCATGCAATTCCCAAACGGAATTCCGGGAATCGCTTCCAGAAGGAATTAGGCGGAATTGCATGCAATTCCACGGAATTTCGTTCGATTCCGGAATCATTTATGCGTTGCATTAATACCATTGCTCGCTTCTAGTGTACGCATGCAATTCCCAAACGAAATTCCAGGAATCGCTTCAAGGAGGAATTAGACGGAATTAGACGGAATTGCATGCAATTCCATGGAATTCCGTTCGATTCCGAAATCATTTATTCGTTGCATTAATACCATAGCTTACTTCTAGTGTATGCATGCAATTCCCAAACGGAATTCCGGGAACCGCTTCAAGCAGCAATTCGACGGAATTCGACGGAATTCCATGCAATTCCATGTAATTCCGTTCGATTTCAGAATCATTTATGCGTTGCATTAATACTATTGCTCGCTTCTAGTGTATACATGCAATTCCCGAACGGAATTCCTGGAATCGCTTCAAGGAGGAATTGGACGGAATTAGACGGAATTGCATGCAATTCCATGTTATTCCTAGCGATTCCGGTTTCATTAAATTCGGGAGTTCGGTTCCGGAATTGGATCATCATTAGATTCATAAGAGATGATAGAATATTATTAGATATAGCAATTCCGGAATTCCTAGGAATTGCTAGAAATTCGTAGTAATTGCTACCGATTCCTGTTTCATTCAATTCAGGAATTCCGTTCGGGAATTGGATCATCGTTAGATCGATAAGAGGTGATAGAATCATACTAGATATAGTAATTCCGGAATTGCTAGCAATTCCTACCTATTCCGGTTTCATTCAATGCCGGAATTCCGTTCCGGAATTGAATTGTCATTAGAGTGATAAGAGATGTTAGAGTAATGCTAGATATAGCAATTCCGGAATTTCTATGAATTGCTTGAAATTCCTAGTAATTTCTACCGATTCCGGTTTCATTCGATTTCGGAATGCCGTTCCGAAATTGGATCATCATTGGATCGATAAGGGATGATGGAATTATACTGGATACAATAATTCCGGAATTCCTAGTAGTTCCTACCGATTCCGATTCCATTCAGTTCCGGAATTTCGTTCCGGAATTGGATCATCATTAGATCGATAAGAGATGATAGAATCATACTAGATATAGCAATTCCGGAATTGCTATTAATTGCTAGAAATTCCTAGTAATTCCTACCGATTCCGGTTTCGTTGAATTCCGGAATTCCGTTCCGGATGTGGATCATTATTAAATCGATAAGAGATGACAGAATCATGCTAGATATAGCAATTCCGGAATTCCTAGGAATTGCTAGTAATTCCTACCGATTCCGATTTCATTCGATTCCGGAATTAGACGAAGCTGTGAGGAGTTGCTTGTATTTGCTGGAATCGATTCCGAAATTACTAGAAACTGTTAGAATGGATTCCTAAATTGAATGTCGTGCAGCGTGGATGTGTTTTCGGAATCGTTGGAATGGATTCCTGGGGCGGAACTGATTCCGCAAAGTGCAACATCGCGGAATAGGATAACTGCTCAGCCAAGGAATGTAGCCACATTCTTGACAGTGAAATTTGATTAATCCATAAAAATGAAGAAATTAATCTATATACAGATGTATATCGTCTAGATCAATTGTTAACGATGGAACTGTAGTTAAGTCAATTGATCGTCTTTTTCACCGTGATTTAGTCTTTTTCATTTGAATCGATAAGTTTTACTCTGAAAAATCTGTTCGATTTCTCTAGTGGATTTTCGTGAAAATCAACAAGATTTACGGTGTACATTCGCGTTTGATCGGAAATTAAAAAAGCCAAAAACGAAAACGAGAGTAAAACTAAGAATATAATAGCAGGAAAGGTTTTTAATTCGATATACTTTGACAGTATCATCAATGATAAACTGCTATAATTGTTACAATTACAAGTAATTTATGTCACAAAAATTTATTGAATTACAAAAGAGGATACAGTGAAGTGAAAAAATAGTCTAAAATAAGTATGAATATGGTTTTGTGAGTGTTTTCATTGGTCGTGCACCCACACACTCCTTTCTCTCTAGTATAAACACAAGAGAATGCCCGAGATATAACAGTTTTATGATATAGTCTTCATGGAGTCAAAATTTCTATCAACGAGACCATAAGTTCTCTAAAAACGAACTCGTTATTGAATATAGAATATAGAAAATTTTTTTTAAATATGTTCTGATTTCTCTATCGGTTATATTCTCATGTACATACCGATGATTTTATATCGATAAAGAAAAGTTTGATGAAAGAAGAGAGAGCATACAAAATGAAGACCTATTTCTACAATATCTAAATCAACTAAGAAAATGCTTCGGACTTTTTAGATTTACTTTTTTGTGTGTTATTCTTGTATCACATCTTCTTCACAATGACTACTGAAGGATGAACTGATGTAGGTGTCGATGAGAATCTTACTTTCGAATATCATTTTCATCATGACAAGCAAATAGAAGAATCTTACCATTAGAAAGACAAAAAAGGAAAATTCATCTTTGATTTAGATGCTTTAAAATCTCTAAAGTTCACAGTACTTTTTTCTTTCCCCTCTCTCAATAAAGTTTGACTATCGAGATTAAATTAAATTTATTTTAATAAGAAATATTTATCGACATCCAATGAAAAAAAATCAAATAAGATTGTATTGCTTGCTCTATCCACTTATTACATTATTTTTCAGTGATATGGTGAATACACACAAAAAAATATCTTTTTAACCTGTCTAATTAGAATTTTTCTCAAAAGTACGTATATAATTTAATCTATCTAATCTGAATATTTCAATAGATCTGATATTTGATTGTATTCAAGAATAATTTGAAATTTTAATGCTATCTAATCTAATATTACAAAATCCATAAAATTTGTCGGTTTCTTTAAATTGAAGTTACAAGACACAACGAAGTTTTCATGCATTTCAATTGATTTAGTCTTACTCAAGTGGAAATAACTTGTAAAATGTTAATAAAATACGTACTACATAGATTAAGAACAAAATTTCGATCTAATTAAGTATAGAAATAAATTTGTTTAACCGTGTTGAAAATTCTAACAATCATTCATTAAAGTTGAATACTACTGATTCAATTTATCAACGTTCGAAAAATTTCATCGATAAAAATAATTATCTGAATATCGTTTTTGAATATATTCTCTTAGATTTCATACTTTTGATTTGAACATATTGTCAAAAGATAACTTCAGTTATTTCATTTAAAGTTGAATAAAATGAAATTTTGAAGAAAGGTGACACAAGTACATTTGATTGTTCTTATTGAAAAAAATGTAAGTAATCCATGAGTTGATCAATAAGCAGTAGTTATGAAGGGTGTGGGTGTGGGTTCATATAAAACGCAACCATCTTCACACCTACACCCACACGCCCAGGTCAAAACAAACGGTTAAAGAACGTGTTCGAAACAAGTAGCTCTGAACGCGTTCATGTGTTCCGAACGCATTTTTTTATACCGTTTCATTCAGATTCTTCTTGATGTGCGACGTAGTCGCAAACGCTGAATTTGATGGTCTGTATATACCAGCACTTTAGCTGACCTCGCAAAGAGCACATTTACTTTCGTATATAAAGATATTTAACAGTTTCTGAGTTACACATTCACGCGAAAAATAAGAAGGTAGTTAAATAAAGAAGATCTCTTTAATTATCTTCTTATTTTTCGCGTGAATGTGTACCTCAGAAACTAAAAAATCTTTATATACGAAAGTAAACATGCTCTTTGCGAGATCAGCTGGAATGCCAGTATATATAGACCATCGCATTCAGCGTTTGTGATTACATTGAACGTCAGAAAGAACCTAAATCGAAAGAGATAACAAAACGTAAAATTTCGCAAATAAAAAAAGATTTCATAAAAGTATATGAGCAAGCTTACGTGAATTAAAAAAGAATTTTTGAATGAAAAAAAAACTCCTTTCCTAAATGTGTTGTCCATTTCTTAAGTAGTATCTTCTTTTCAAATCACGATTTATATGAAACCAGTTACAATAAAAATATTGTAAGACGAAGTTTAGAAATAAAAAATTACAATATGTCTGAAATAAACTACCACATAAATCATCAATATCTAGTATATGTGCGTCAATTGATTTATTCATTATATAAACTGAAAAATAAGTTCATGTCATCTAAAAAAATAACTTGTATAAATTGCCAATTAATGTACAAAAATAAAATTTAAAAAAATTATTATTAGCGTCTACGGACGTAATAAATATTATCCTTACTCAAAAAAAGTAAAAAGAATAATTATCTAAAATAATTTTTGATCAAAGATATTTTATAATTTCTATTTCTTCCCAATAATTAATACTTAAAAATAAAAATACAAAGTTATTTTATATTTTAGTGAAAAACTGCCATTTTTCATTCTTATTCACTCGTAGCCTCTACAAAGGAGACAAGAACGCTTATAAACACGTGGGAAACGAGCGACCTATATAAAACGCGTTCAGAATGCGTTTTCATACGTTCGTCCGTTTAGAACGCGTTCTTTAACCGTTCGTCTTGACCTGGGTATATCTTGTTGATTTTTAATATATATAAATCTTAATGAAGAACCAGTTACACAAAAATCTTCACACAATCCATTGTGAAATAACCAGTAAAAGTAAATAATAAGCGCCTTCATTCCATCAGTGCGTCAGCCGATTATATAGTATCAAAATGAACATTCCTTCTTTAAATCCAGATGTTGATTCAATGGTACGAGTTTATGGTAGTCATGTAAATGACTTAAATGGTTTGTTATTATTTCTTTAATAAATATTCTTTTAATTAAAATAATTTTTCTTAATAAATTTCTATTTATACTTGTCATGGAGCCACCACAAACTTCTTCAACTTGGTCAACAACTTGCTGATGCATATTCTCAATAATCATCGTATAAAATATATTTACCTCTTTTTAAAATAAATATAATTTCTTTTATTGATAGATCATCCCCTAGTGAATGTACTCATCCAGAGAGTACGACTTGCCAGCATGAGTACTCAAATTACTCGAGCAAGTACTTTCAAAAATTCATGAGTATGTAAAATGAACGAGTACTCAAATACGTACTTATACGAATCTTTCACTACACATCTACTCATAGGCAAGATGCTGAGTACTCATTGCAGTACTCGTCGTCTTTTTTCCTGGAAAGACTCAATATACAGAATAGAATGTGTAAGGATGAAAACGATGTCGTGCGCTGACTTTCTATGGGCGGTAAGTAATAATTCTAACAGAATAACTTCCTTCTGTGACTGTGATATTGCAGAGAAGCGGACTTGTTCAGAGTCTACGAAGCTTCTCGAAGGGCAACCAACTGGAACTTTAAATGGTCTAGTTGCCACTAACTATAAGAAATGAACGGTTGTAGTACTTGACTACAATACACTGCCACACAAGTATAGATGTGTAGTACTCATATACTCGAAACTCATCGTGAGTACGACCGACGAGTACTCAAAAATCCCGAGTACTCATGAGTACTCGCGGCATTTTCTAGCATGAGTACTTTTTGAGTACTCTCTAGGTGAGTACTTTCACTAGGGTCGGTAATAGTAAGTGAAAAATTTAATGTTGGTGATTATTGCGCATATCAATCAGAAAATGAAGTTTGTTATCGTGGATTAATACGTGAACGAGATTCAGATGGTAATGCAATTGTATTTAAAATAGATTATGGTGATGTACAACGTATACTTGTACTATTACTTCGACCATTAGAGGTTAAAAGTTTCGAAAAATTCATTGTGTTTTTTGCAAAGTTATTTTGTTTTATTAGGAATGGATGTTTGAAGTACAACATCTTGCAATTCATTGTTCATTAGCTGATTTAGTTAAACCAATAAACGGTTGGTCATCAGAAGTTATTGGTCAATTTAGTTCACGATTAAATAAACCATTTCTTTATGGAAAATTTATTAATTATAATAAATCGACTGACATGTCAAGTGTGGAAATAAAGGAAAAAGAATCAAACATCTTATTCAATAAAGTGTTTGGTACGAAAAAATTTGAAATCTTATTGTATTTCCGAATATTTTCTATTAAATAGAACCATATCAAAAGGAAACAATCAACATTTTCAATGAATGATGAACTTGTCTACAAACGTATGTCAATAAAATATTGATTTGTTTATTTTATATTTCTTACTCTCTTTGTTTAAAGATATTCCAATGGCAAAATTATATCCTGGTACAGCATATGAAATTCATCTTCTTTATTATATAAGTCCAAGTCATTTTTATGTTTATCTTCGACAAAAAAACCCAGCCACATAAACAGGTAAATAGGAAATTTTTCTTCTAAGATGAAGTCATATTTGTATATTTGATTAGTTACAAAATAATTGGCAAGAAGCTGGAAAAAATCTTCCATCAATATCATCACCAGTGAAATATCAAGCAATTGCTGTACAAGATAATAATGCTATATGACTTCGTGCTGTTATACTCGGTTTGATATAAAATGAAATATTTGTTTTGGAAAATTTTATTTTTGGTTTTTGAAGATTTTAGTTATGATTTACAGAAATTTCGGATTTATTTTATTGATATTGGACAAACAGAATTTATTTCAGGAAACAAGTTTCGTCAATTACCAGACGAATTTTTAGATGAACCAGCTCTTGCTATTCCATGTCGTTTATATAATGTATGTCCAATTAATGGCAATGAACAACCAATATGGAAATCAGATGATAAAGTATATGATGAGTTGCAAAGACTTATGGTTAATTATATTAGTTGTACAGTACGTCCAAAACAAGATCAAGTATATTATGATGTTGAAATCATGATTCCTGGTAAGTACTTAATGATTTGAAGAAGATAGAGCTTCATGATGGAAATAGAATAAGTGGGAATTAATGTATAAGGAATTTTGAGGCGCTCTTAACGGCAAAATTACTCAAAATAATGAGCTTAATGACCTAAAACATTTCAAAAATCGATTTAAACTCTTCATATATATTTTTGCCTGTTATATGCGATTGAAATATCTGACATTAGCTAGAAATGACTATTCTTTCATGTGAATTTCCTCAAAATTACGGTTGACACTATCTGCTTTGTATATTATGAGGATTGAAAGATTATTTTATTGCCTTTTTCGCTCGAAATGAAGTATTATAAGGATTCTTTCTAAATAAAAATAGTTTTTAATTAGGTCAATTATTAACTTAGTCTACATTTCATTAAGGAAATTTTATTCACTGGTAAGAATAAGATATACGTGGACCAGTATACTGTTTAAAAAAATAATATATAATGATGAAAATCAGTATTTTGGGATAACTTTTAGGATTATAGCTGGAATAGCAGTTACATCATTTGAATAGTAGTACATGAATAACAGAAATCATTGTAGAAAAGCTTTTCTGTTGGAAAAGTGGTGAGCTTCTTCGTTATGAAACATGGATGAATGTATTCTAAGAAGAAGATCATGTCAACAAACGGACAGTTGTACAAAACTCACCAGTCATGTGTCGTTAATAACAGATTGAAGTACTCCATCTTGTCAGTCTTAATAGTTATACTTCGTATTTGTTGATGTTAGAACTTTAGGTTACAGGTCATTTAATTTATAGTCTACTTTCTTCACCTCATTATGTTTTCGATGTGAGGATGAAAATATTTTAGTGGATGGAAACACAGATATCAATCAAACTTCCACAAGGCAGCTTCATTAGATTGTGATTCACTCGTAGAATTTGTTTAAAGCTTTCGTTTTTCAAACTTGTATTAAGTTTTCATAAATGTGCTGAGCTCATGTATCTTTCATATAAGTTTTCTTTAAATTATTGCATTTTGATTTGAACGATGCTTTGACGCGTTTCAAAAATTTTCTTACGTAATTGTAAATAATTGTTGATTTAGTTTTAGAATCTTCAGATGGTCTAGTATCAGTTGGTAATACAACTGAATAATGTTTTTTTAAACTTACTTAAAGTGTTTGTGAATTATTCGAGTATTTATCTTATCTTGCATTAGGTCAACCACGATACGAAGTTAATCGACTGATGACGTGTAGTATTTCTCTAGTAAGGAAAAGGTATCAGCTTTATTAGATTTGATCGATCAACAGAAAAATATCTTAATAGTTTTCAAAAGCCACACTGACACATAAACATTATTATATGGCAAAGAAGTATCGAACTCCAGTATAAAATTATAAACACAAACCCGAAATTCATAAAAAATAATTGAGAAACTTTTTCGTAGACATCTTCAAATGTGGGGACAGTTATTAGTTGATGTTATTGTTATGATTCAAAATTGTTTAAGATGGAATGGAGGAAACTATCCCCAAAAAGTTTATTAAAGATTAATGTATTAGAATTTAAGTTCTAATAGAGATTCAAAACAATTTTAGAGTGAACATCAGATATGTTTTTCAGAATATGTTATCAATATGAGGCTAAGGAATGATAAAATCTATAAAAGTGACTGATAATTAGTTAAGTTATAAATCAAATATTAATTGAATAAATATCAAAAAAACACAGTACACTTGATGAAATGATCTTTCTGTATTAAACAGTACGTGTGAATTTATTAGAAATTACTTCCAATATTTTGCACTAAGTTATTTAGAATGTTCCGAAGATATGCATCACTGTTAAGTAGTTCTAACGTAACATATATGACGATTATTTTTAGAATATTTTCTGCTGATTTCTCTGCAAACCTGGACATCAATATTACATAAATTATTTTTACTTCATCAAATTATACCAGAATCGTATTCTTGCGACTAATTCCAGGAAGTTTCTGGTACGATAGCAATCGGTTTCCATCGGAAAATTCCGAAATCATAGAATCTTGAAAGCAAAACATTATGTCTGTATCTCGCAATATGTTATGTTCGGCACTGGTCAGACTCACTCATACATGAATCACTTACAATAGCCGGGCTGCTAGAAAGCTTTTGAAAATTATAGTTCGCTTACTTAATACATTAAAACCTAATGAAAACCTCGATAACAGAGTATAGACATCTTTGTAGATGCCTCTCAAGACGATAAACAGTGTCCACAACGTCCAAAAAGAGACAAAACTACACTTAAATTTTTTGATGAGTGTAGAATATCGTATCAAATGTATTTTTGATGAAATTGACATGAAAAAATAATCATCTCTGGCTAATATCAGATCTTTCAATCACGTATAACAGACAAAAGTATATATGAAGAGTTTAAATCGATTTTGAAAATGATTTAGGGTAATTAAGCTGATCACCTTAAATAATTTTGCCGTTGAGAGAACTTCGAAATTCCTTATAGATATGCTAAAATTTGAGTTTTAGTATGTTCAACAAAATCTGCTGAGATTTTGCATTCATCCCACAAGCACAACAAGGATTCTATATTCATCCTATAGAAGGTGAATGCACTAACAATTTTTTTTTTATTGCTCTTTTTGCAGGCTTTATAAAAAACACACTCTTGACTTATAATCTTAAGATTAATTTAAAGTGATAGAAAAGTCTTTGAGCTACTAGTTAGTAAAAAAATCATCTAAAAATACTTTATTCAACATTTTATAATTTGATTTTGATAATTATATAGAAAATAGCAAGGATTCTACATTGACCTCAACAGCATCAGCAAGATTCTATATTCATGCCCAATGGGATGAATGTAGAATCGAAAAATAGGGTTCAAAGAATACGTTGTTGATAGGTATACTCACAAGATTTTGAAAAATGAATTTCACCAATCGATCAAGAAAAGATTCAGCTAAGTGTCTTGTGAAAAAAAGTTTTTAAAAAGACGAAAAATAAAAAAGTTATAGCCAAATTACTTGACCTCAATTCTTTTCTGTCTACATTTACTCTCACTTACTCTAGATAATTTCTTTTTTATCATTTTAGATATCGGTGATCTTAGTACAATTCTTGTTAACAACAATCTGGTTTCTCCTACAACAAGCAATTCTCAACACTCGACCATTAGTTCAAGTGAATCACCACAACTTGCTGCATCAAGAACAACTTCATCGGGACGACAAACATAGTAAGTTAAAAATGTACTTTTAAAATAATTATGTTGCAACTAAAATGAATGAATAAGAACTTTAAATTGAATTTTTTTTAATCTTTATTTGTTGATTAATGAGAAGATCAAGTTCATTTTATATTATTTCAGAACAACTACCGGTTCAGCATCAACTGTTCCCATTGTACCACCTAGTAAGGTTCATTCATTCTTTCCATTTGTTGTGTTTTAATATATCTTTTTAGATGATGGATATTATTGGATATCGCAAATCTATAGTGCTACGGAATTTCATGCTTTTTCTTATTCTCATCGACATAGATTTGATGGTGTATGCAAAGATCTCAAAGCTTATTATGATAGTTTTGTTAATGATCAATCATTAAATGTAACTGTTATTTTGATTGGTAATCTATGTGCTATCCAGCAAGGTAATAAATATTATCGTGTTATAATAAAGTAAACTTTAAAGAAGATATTCTGAGAAATTTCTTTCTTTATTATTGTCTTTTTAATTAGACGTCGTAAAAGTCAATCAAAAGTATTAGTTAAACTTATTGATCGTGGTGATGAAATTATTGTTGATACAACAGAATTATTACAAATTGATAATAAATTTTCTACAATACCAGCATTTGTCCAACCATTTCGTTTACATCCTTGTGAGGAATCAGTAAGTCAAAAAGAAAATAATTATTTTATAAATTTATTTAATGAAATTATTTCTTTTTCTGAAGCAAAATTCAGCTAATGTAACTCGTCAATTGAAAAGTTATTATTTAATCAATGGGTTTATACTACTCAACAAGGATCACTGATTAATGGATCTTATCCTGTTGAAGTTATTTTATCTAACCAACAATCACTTAATAAAATGATTCTTCAACAATAAAAACTCATAATATAGTTTCTGTTCTCCATATTTATCTTATTGATTTATTTCGTTTGATAAATAAAGATACTTCTCCACTATCAGATCTTGTGTATTTTTTATTTTTCATTAAAAGTTTTTTTTCGATATATTTTTTTTCCAAACTGTATACGATTGGAATGAATGCTAATAATGATATGATGATCGAGCGACTTTTGTAATGATATTATATCAATTGATTAAGAATAAAACAAATGATAGTTTGACTTTTTGACACTCAAACCTTTCCTTTGTTTTTCTATGCTTTTATTTAAATCGAATAGTTATGAATCAAAAGGATTTAAAAAAGCAGTAATTGCATACAATCACTACTAGCAACAAAAAAAAATAGTAAGAATTCACGAATAAGATATCTCTGTGTTGGATGATTTAACCTATTAATACAGAGTATTAAAACAAAACTTTTTGTTCGTCTTATAAAACAATTCTTTCAACAAAATAAAAACAGCAGCTAACACTTATGCATGTTCAACATGTCACAAATTTTGAATGACAATAACAGAAAAAAGAGATAATTTCATTCAATTATTTGTTCATTGTTGATTCAGACTATAGGATAGGTATGTCATATTATTCTCATTGATGATATCGGTCAAATACATCAAAACGTAGAAAAATATGAAAGAATTATCGATTAAACTAAATGATTGACTGGATGAAATTCTTATAATTATTTTTAAAAAGTTATATCATTTCGAAACATTGTATTCTTTAATAGGTGTTAACAAACGATTCAATAGAATTTCACATGATTCTATATTTACAATTCCTTTAACATTAATAACTTTCTTGAATGATCCCACCTATTGTTTGTCTGATCTAATACTCGACCGATTTTGTTTACAAATTTTACCAGAAATTCGTAATAAAATCAAATGGCTTGATCTTGAATCGACATCTATGGAACGTATTCTTCGTGTTACAAATTATCCTAATTTATATGGACTTGGTTTATATGAGATTGATATGGAAAATGCAATATCTCTCTTTATTGGTAAGTTATTATTTTAATTCTAAATAATTAAAAATTCAACATTATTCATTTTTATATTACATTTATAATATGGCTGAGTAGATAATTCAGTAATCTATAGTATAAATTTGTATATTGCATTATTAATTTTTAATTTCTCTAGAGATATTTATTTTTATTTAGATGATTCTATCTTGACATATGTAAACAAAGGGTGTGGGTGTGAGTGTAGGGAAAGAGAAGAGTGAAACCCACACCCACCCTAAACGACGAGCTTTTTTCACAAAACTACTATCATTTATTATGAATTTTATGTCATTCTTCGCACGTGGGCTTTGTTTTATGAGAAGATCTTCTAATATGTAGGAACACAGGGGTAGTCACCCCATCCCATCCCTCAAAAAGGAATACTTTGATCGTTATTATTAATAGTTTATTTCGAGAAAAAGATAGATAAGCAAGTGAATGAAGCATAGTTAGATTAAGCTATATTGGTTGAAATTTCTTCTCTTTGAGTTTAGTCCAAGAAAAGTTGTTAGACATTAGCATGTATTTAGGAATACTGATACAGTGCCTGTGTAATGACCAATTACGACATCAAGTCGACCATCATTATTCAAATCATAAAGAACCAATGATGTCGGATTGTAATCTGTAACAAAAGACCACCATTGGAAGAATGAGCCTGTTCCATCACCAAGAAATATACTAAAATAATTAGAAAAGGTTGCGACAGCGACGACATCCAAGTAAGTATCACCATTCAAGTCACCCATCGCGAGTGCATAAGCACAGCTTCCAATCATATAGTTAACAGCTGCTCGAAAGGTGCCATTGCCATTCCCAAGTAGTACACTCATCGTACTATTTGCACAATTGGCTGAGAGTAGATCCATGTGTTGATCACCATTCAAATCACCCACCGCTAATCCCCATGGATTGATCATGGTGCTATACGACGTTCGCGTTCGGAAAGTGCCATTCCCATAGCCTAGATGAACACTTACACTGTTGCTACCATAGTTGGTGACAGCGAAATCTAAACGATTATCATGATTGAAGTCCGCTACAACGGCTACGGTAGGATAGAAGTATGTATTAAAAGTTTTTTGTGGAGCGAAAGTACCGTTACCATAACCGAGCAGAATGCTAACAGTATTGCCAGCATTGTTAACAACCAACAAGTCAAGGTATTGATCACCATTAAAATCTCGAACCGAAACCATAGTTGGGGCGAAGCCAGTGGCAAATGAACTTTGCGAAAAGAAACTGCCATCTCCAACACCTAGTGAAATGCCAACACTAGTATCGCCGATATGACTAACAGCTATATCTGGATGGTTGTCTCCATTGATGTCACCAATAGCGACACCATATGGATTTGTGCGAGTCATGAAAGTTGTTGGTGATTTGAAGCTTCCGTTGCCATTACCAAGAAAAACATAGATATCGTTCTCATTAAAATTGGAAAGAATAAGATCCATCCGATTATCACCATTGAGATCACCGAGAGCAACTGAAAAGGTTATATTTCCTATGCTATATGAAAAATGTTGGATGAATGACAAATTGCGGCAAATAGTACCTAGAATCAATGAGCATGATTTACGTTAAGTTAAATAAATATTAGATAAGAAACTCGACTGCATCCAAAACAATTCGAATAAATAAGAAATGCAAGAAAAACGGTTTTCATACAGTTTCAGATGGCCAAAAGATTTATAAGCTTGAAACAGGTAGAAAGCTTTTCGTCGTATGTCACAAAGACAATCAACGATTTCCCGTTTATGATTTGAAGAAAGGGTTTATATAAGATTTCAAAAGCAGAAAAAACCTTCACTAGCCGTTGTAAACTAAGAATCCATATTTTCTTTTGATTGTATTCTAAACATAGACCGGTCCTTCCCAAGAGTCTCAATTCCAGTTTCACTCTTCCTTAAAGAAAGAAAGTAAATCTGCAAGCATCCTCTTGAAAGTAAAGAACAACAGATTCATTCATTTTTTAGAGTGAAATATTCAAAGCTCCCAAACATGACTTTTTCTTCAAGAAAATTAGTCTCTCTCTAGTGATACCAAGTTTCGTGTGATGTAAGCATTTATATCACTGTGCAAGAGTTGTCAATTTGAAGATTTTCACTTCACATCTAAATGAAGGCCTGATGAAATATGACTTTCAGCACAATTACTTATCTTACTCGATGCATTTTGGATTCTTTCCGAACATGTTTTAATCCAGAGAAATATCATCGATCCTAACATATTATTTTATAAACCCCTGAACAATAGCTACTTCAACTTTCAGAGCAATTCTGTGAATTTGCTTCGGCTTTACACACCGAGTGTCTGCTCACAACATAATAAACACTAACGTGGGATAGTCGCGGTCATACTGCTGGTGCTCGTCGTTGATACGCTGGTGGTGGTGAAGCTATTGATCATGGTCGATGTTTCAGTAATGGTAGTGCTGCTGGTCATCGTCGATGTTTCAGTAATAGTACTGGTGGTCATCATCGCGGTTGTACTAGTTGTAGTGCTGGCGGTAATCGTTGATGTTTGAGTAGTAGTACTGGTGGTCATCATCGCTGTTGTAGTAGCGGTAGTGCTAGGGGTAATCGCTGATGTTTGAGTAGTAGTGCTGGTGGTCATCATCGTCGTT